CGCGCCCGCGGCGGGGCCGATCGGGCCCGGCGTAGCTGCCTCGTCGCTCAAAACGATTTGCCTCAAAGAGCTCTACAATGGACAGTGCTTCGGTCCTCTCATAATGGGCGCGAAGAATCTGAGGACTCTGAAGCTTTTCAGGTGCTCTGGCGATTGGGACAAGCTTCTCCAGGTGATAGCAGAGCGAGTCACCTCCATGGTTGAGATCCATCTAGAAAAGCTTCAGGTCAGTGACGTAGGCCTCGCTGCCATCTCCAATTGCTTGGATCTGGAGATTCTACACCTGGTCAAGACCCCTGAGTGCACAAATGTAGGTTTGGTCTCGGTCGCCCAACGCTGTAAGCTTCTACGAAAGCTTCACATTGATGGCTGGAAGGCCAACCGAGTCGGAGACGAAGGTTTGGTCGCGGTGGCCATGAGCTGCCCTAACCTACAGGAATTGGTGCTCATCGGTGTCAATCCAACGAGAGTGAGCTTGGAGACTCTGGCTTCGAATTGCCCAAACCTAGAGAGACTGGCATTGTGCGGAAGCGACACCGTGGGCGATGTCGAGATTTCGTGCATTGCGGCGAAATGCGTAGCGTTGAAGAAGCTTTGCATCAAGAGCTGCCCGGTTTCGGACATCGGCCTCGAAGCCTTGGCCAGTGGGTGCCCTAATATGGTGAAAGTGAAGCTCAAGAAATGCAGAGGAGTGACAGCGGAGGGTGCCGATTGGTTGAGGGCAAGCAGGCCTGCGTTGGCTGTGAATTTAGATACAGGGGAAACAATCCAAGACGCCAGTGCCAGTGACGGTGGGGCCAACGATAATAACGCCGTCGAATTGCCGGCGGCGTTGGCCATCCAACCGGTGTTTCTGGGTATTGCGTCATCGAGCAGTACGGGGCGGTCGACGACGTCGTTTAAGTCGAGGTTGGGACTATTGACTGGGAGGAATTTTGTGGTTTGCGCCCTGAGAAGGTGGTCAAGTCGGAATAATAGTTAGTGTTTTATTGAACTATACACAGAACAAGCTTCCTGGAGCCGTGTCCATTGCTCATTGCTCATTGTATTTTTTTCTCTTCTTTTTTCCTGTATTATTTGGATTCTGACTTTTTTATGTACTTAATTTGATGCTGTGTGCTGTTTATTTGCCTTTTGTCAAGCCAATCTTTCTTCTTCCTTCTTTTGTTTTTTCGTTTGTTTTTGCATCTCTTTGTTGTTGAAGCTTCCCCCCTTTAACACCATTTCCATTTTTGGACATGCACAATATCAATATCCCTGTGCATCATCAGACTTATCTGCATGCATTTATATCTGTGTGTGTTTACTATTTAGGAGCTCAAGCAAAAGCCAGGGTCGATTGTTCATACGGTAGTTTACTTGAATTGTTCTATTCTTGGGAGGTGCGACGAGGTTGCTTTTGTGAGTGCAAGGCCACTAATACAAACTAGACCTAGGAATGTATTCATAGCTAAGGCCTCAGTCATTTGGTGGGTAGGATAATAAAGTAGTAGGATTGGATTGAGCTTGATCTCGCCATAATCTCGTTATGTGCATATTTTTGTAGGATTACTTATTCTACAAAATGGGTGGGATGTATAATCCCACCACTCCCACCCATTCGGGCTACTAGTTCCAATGAAGACTACGAATCATTTTCAATTCAATCTAATTCAATGTAGTGCAATCCTACCTCCTAATCTAATTCAATTCTAGTCACCAAACATGACCTAAGAGTGACCTAAGAGTACGAGAGATATCTTCACATTGCTCTTGGGCGACGACTACGGCGATTGAATACTCTTGAGTCACCCAAATGATGGCAAATTCCTTTTTATCGTCCACGATTGAGCAAAGATAAGCTACAAAAATCCTTGGAATCAACAAAAGAAAGATTAGTTAGAAGCTCATTGAATCTTTACATAAGGCCTCATTTCAACACAACCGTCATTAGAGCAACATAAATTGAAAAGCAATCTGGTCTAAAGTAATCACATACAAACAAGCATGGTGACATGTAAAGATTAAAGTAACAATGATAAAAGGGGTTGAACTACATGTTCACTTTCGAAAAAGAACAAAAAAAGAAAAGTAAAGGATTATCTGCCATAATTTCCCGTTTATCTCACTGTTTAGAAAAGAAAAATAAAAGAAACGACTACTCGGATAGATGAATAATGCTGTCTCCTTTCTATGTGTTAATGACCAACACCTGTAGAAACATAGTTAAGCTAAATTTGAACGATAATGTAAGGATGATTAAATCCTTTCCTTGAACATTCG